TTTTGAAAAATAAAAAGTATAAATATGCCTAATATAGGTATGGTCCTACACTATATTATTCAAATATAGCATGATAGGTCCACTTTAAAATGTATTTTTGCTGAACCTGTTGTTGATCATTGCGCCCCCTACTGGCAGGTTAGGAGCAGTCAGTTGTCATTGGCGGAAAAAAAAGCTTAAAAAGCTTACAACACAAGTGTCCATTAGCACTTGTGTGTTAAGCTAACAGTCTAACAGTGTGTGTTTACCCACGAAAGCCACAGGCAGGATATGAACTTTCCCTCTGTGTCGTGGGAATAACCTCTTCAAAGGAGACATTTACACATTTTGAAACATTGGCTTGTCTTCCTCACAATCTGTAGAATCAGTGAGATGAATACACCTGTTTATCTACTTCTTTATATCAAGAGGTTAAATTGACTTAAGGCCCTCCAATGCTTATATGCTTGCATTATATAAAAGAAAGTAAGAGATGGTTTTTGTCATCGTGCTTTACTCATACTATCTTTAAATCCTTTTTTAGATTGTCTTCCGAAAGATCAGTGATGTGAAACGTGAGGAGGAGGAGCGACAGAGACGTAAAAATGAAGCCCCTCTGAACTTGCCACCAGATCACCCGGTAAGGAAACTCTTCCAGCGCTTTCGGCAGCAGAAGGAGTCGCGGCAGGAACCTGAAAAACTGGCTGACCATGACATCGAGAAGGGCCCTGTGTACGTGGACATCCCGATCGCCAAAGCAGCCGTCACAACCACCAGCATCGTCACGGTGACAGAGAGCCCAGCAACACCTTCATCTTCTATGCCTTCATCTTCAACAGCACTCAACTGCGCTCCCTCAGACAAGGCGAAGCTGCAGGTGCCGGTCCCCGTCTCTCTTATCGGGGGCCGGGTCTCAGAACCAGTCAAAGTCAAAGGCTGGGGTCGATTCAAGGAGTCCATGGCCAAACCTGACAATTGGAACAAAGTGTCCAAAGCCGAATCTATGGAGACTTTACCCGAACGGACCAAGGTGCACGAGTCACAAACGTCTCTAAAGAAGACAGACTCTTGTGACAGCGGCATCACAAAAAGTGATCTGCGCCTGGACAAAGTGGGCGAGTTTCACATCGCGCCCCAGGACCGGAGTCCCGTGCAGCCTCCGGAGACCAGGCACGCCTTCTACACCATCCCGGAGCAGACGCTACAGGCCTCGCTCCTGGAGATCAAACTGGAGCTGAAGGACGACCTCAAGAACCTGAACGTTCGAATGTCCGGCCTGGAGGCGCAGCTCACAGAAGCACTTCAACTCCTCAAATCGAGGAGATCAAATGCTGACTCTCCACAGCCGCTTTTTGACATTTCTAGACCTGCTTCACCAGAACTGGACAAAGAAGACATCTTCTCTTGAAGGAAGGTACGTTAACAAATCAGGTTGACTCTGAATCAGCTGGAATCCAGTAATATCCAGATTACTTGGATAGGCTGCAATGGATGCACCATTTAAGTTATCAGGCAACAGTGTGGTCTTTAAGACGCACCGGCCTTTTATCATAGGGGTGTACCCGACCGTTTACAAGGCAACATCGTGTGGAAAAGTCGCGGGTGTATCCCAGAACTTGTTGTCGGAGAAAAAACAAAAGATCGGGAGGTCATTCAAAACACTGACAGCTCTATGTCTGTACATAAGTTTGGTTTATTCTTCCATCGCACTATAATGGAAAAATAGCTTGAGCGGTTTGATATTATCTCAATTTTGAGAGCGTCAGTGGAAGACCAACGTTATATCTCTGTTTTGAAATGAGTAGAAACAGCATGACCCACTGGTTTGTTATTGCATCATTCGTATGGGATTCTTTGCATGTCACATAAAGTAGGCGCGTGTCTCTAAATTGCAGATGGTGCATATTTAATTAATTAAGGCCACACCGTGAGCCATTTGCATTATTTCACCATGACAGCGGGAAAGCACAGTCTTTCCAGATGTTGTAACAGGCGCACGGTAATTTCCTCCAGCAATTGATGAACTCTTCTTATTAAATCAACTGCCAGGATCATTTTGAATAATACAACAGATAACTCTGGCCGAGCAATCAGATTTTCAAAGACGTCTTTTAGCAGAGCTAACAATTCCTATAAACCATGGGAGGATGAAAGGCACCACGTGATCCATCTTTTCTGATATCTTGTATTTGTTTTTCTTGTGTACAAACACACATGTATGTACTGTATGAGAGCCACGAACTTCTAGCTTTGTTGATGCATAATAATGTGATGCAGATGGTACTGATAATGGCTGTGGCCCTTCCCTTATTTTAAAAACTGTAAAGTTATGAATGCTCTTTTGCACAATATTTCTTAAATAAAATGTATTTATTACTAAAATATACTTCACAGTGCAGGTTTGTTCATGTAAGCAAACACAAAAGTCATTGGAAACTGTTATATTGATGAATTTTTTGGGGTACATTTTCCCATTTGTTGCACCATCTAGCATGCATGATTAATTTGTGTCTCTCTTCACATTCACTGGAGGAAAAACACATCATCCCATGATGCCAGCAGACACAAGTTGACTATATTTAAGGAACAAAGATGGTGAAAATGTTCAGGCTATGTGTTCGCAGTGCAGGTGATTTGTCTTTGTATTTGAAGCCAATATTTGGGTCCGGCTTACACAAACTTAACGTTCCCTAAATGTGCATTAAAACTTGGCGACAACCGAAAACACCAGACTACTCCTGCATACACAGTGTCTCACCAACAATGTTCAACTACAAGTCATTTCAAGTAGGAATAAAGGAAACAGCAGGATTCTAAAGAGATAATATACCACTTTTTGTTCTTTATCAAACATTTGACTGTTTTGGGTAATTATTCAAAAACAGCCTTTTAATGAACTGAAATACACCCAGGCATTGTTTTCCAGTCATGATAAATAACATGGTTTAGTAAAAAGTATACATGTAGACAGCAAGTGTGTCATGTCTTTCTCTTTAAATTATAATTTTTGTTTAACATTTGAACACAATACAATTTCACCACAAAGGAAAAAGGTATTAACAGAGCCACAATCTTATAAAGAAAACAAACTGGATAGCATTTATATTTAAATTATTATTTTGTCTGTTACGGAAACCTTTCAAATCCAGACAAAAGATAAATTAAATTTCTAGTAAAAGTGAGTTCTGTCATCAAGCAATAATAATAATTGTGCATATTAAAGGACAATTTGAATGCTAAAATATCCGTTAAGGCTCTTTAAAATTGTGTTTTCCATTTATAAAATCAATAATAATTGTGCATATTTTACTGATAATTTTTGGGTTAAAACATCAGTTCAGGCTCTTTAGCTTTGAATAATGGAAGAAAGTCTAATAATATTCAGTAAATATGACTCACTTTTGCAATTTTATTAACACCAGAATAACATAATTGAAAGTCTGGAACTTTACCGTCTATACCGTCTTACACAAGGCAAAAATATAACCATCATTCCATATTATTTATTATTCATATTGATAATTTATGTTCCCTGTGAGACTTTTCTCTTATCAAGACCGGACAAGCTGAGACAACACAACGCTGTTTTTTTTTTTCTCCAGCACATTCTGTGGCTCCATTTCCATCAAAGATTCAGCTTACTTAAAAATGCATGGGCATGTCATCACAGAAGTGAGAAAGCATTTGGTTTAGAGCCAGTGTTTGTCTTTATAGGTCTGCTTTGACAAAGAGTTTTGGTGGTAGAGAGACGGTTTGATTCAGAGAGGGAAAAGCACTCAAATATTTTTGCTGTGACCTCTCTATCACAGAGAATTCATAAAGCTGCTGATAACACCAGTTCAGAAATCAAACAGAGGCAAAAAGAGGGCATACAGTGTCTGTGAGGAATTCAGTCACTCAAAGTCACATATCAAACGTGTGTAATGCTAGACACAGTCTTTATCCGAAATTTGACATCAATAAATCTACAAATGTGGTAAAAAGGGACTTCTTCAGTTATTGGGATTAAAATGGCACTTAATTCAGACACACAGTGACATAAAACAGACACATTTAAATGAGTATTATACTATGGTGAAACATTTTTACAATTTAAATTGAAAAAACTAAATTATTTGAAGTGTTCATTTTTCGGGTTTTTATTAAACATTTTCAAATCCATTATTGTTATGCAGATAAAGTGTTTACTGTTGTATTTACAGTCAAGCTATGTGTATGTTAATACAAAAACAAAAAAAACACACAACACTAGGCTATAAACTAAAAAAAAAACAAAAAACAGTAGGCTAGAAAAACAATCTTTGAGAAATGTAGAAATGTAAAATTTTTCATAAAAATGAGGTGGGTTTGAAGTTATATCTGAACGATTTGGCATTAATAAAATCTAGCACATCAAATGCATTACACACACTACAAGCCAAGCACATTGTGCAGCACATCAACGTTTTTAGAATTACATGAAGGTACAGTATTGTTGGACATTCTGGGACATCCATATTTTTTAACAATAGCTCTGGAGCAAGGCGTTGGCTAGCTCATTAGCATAAAGACTATAAGCTGGGAAAACGGTTAGCATTGCTCAAAGTTCAAAAGCAACCACTAACACATCTAAAGCTCATTAATTAACACACTTTATCTGACTCTGTGAATCCAAAATATAAAAGTTATGTGTTGGTAAGCGTTTATACACTTTGGACAAGGCCAGGCTAGCTGTTTCCCACTACTTCCTGTCTTTATGCTAAGCTAAGCTAAGTGCGTTAACCAGTATTAGCATACCGTTCTAGCTCCGTATAATGCAAGAGGGAAATTAAGTTTCACATCTAACTCTCAAGGCATGTGAAGATATGTCAAACTAATCCTTCAAAAATAATGACTTTCTAGGGCAAGTTAGTGTTCTTAGTCAGAAGACAGTGTAGAAAGTGAGTTAAAGCTTTCTCTTTTTCTGAAATTAGTGAATAGTAGGCTATGCATGAAAGCTCGGGACACACTTTGAGTCAAGATATTTTGAAATATTTTACAACAGTTAAACCACAACTGTTTAAAATAAACTTAAAGTAAAACTAATGAAAAACGTTTTAGCTTGCTCTGACTTTTCATAATACCAACAACGATGAGGTGCTAAATGTCATTTCAATATTATTTTTGTGATTCAACCATATTGAACCTGCATGGAAAATAATATCTAATTTGTATAACAAATGACAATTGAATTGTTTTCTTAGAAGTTAGTGAAAGTGGCATATTTTCATATTAGCTCAAATAGTTTACTTCACTAATGACACTTGTGAATGACACCTGATAATATTTGTGAAGTTCAAGACACAAACAATGAATTGTAACGTTCTGTTCTGTGACTTACTGTATTATTCTATTATAAGGATGCATTAAAACTGTAAATTCAAAATTCTTTAAGTAACATTTTACAGTATCAAACAATAACTGAACCAGATAAAACAGATTCTTCACAATATAATAAGTCAAAAAGATCAAATGTGTTCCAGCTAGAAATCTGATTTTGTACCACCATTTGAATGCAGCCCTGCAACAAAGATATGGCATGTTGAGAGAACTTCCACCTACACCTGTTTTCGAAAGGCTGAATTTTTTTTTTACAAATACTATAAATATACGTAACTAAAATGGGATTTACTGTAGGTGCACTCTAATACTCAGAGACAAGATCCTTGAAAGCAATATGTAGTTCTGTGCTGTAACATTTATAAACAAAGGTCCAAGTCGTACTGTAAGGAGAACTATGAGAAACCTTTTACAGTATACTGCACTACGACTTCATTACATTTACCCTTAACATATTAAACCTTTGATTGCTACTGAAAAGCATGCAACACTGTGCCTTCATAATATTGCCCCGTACTCCTTATCAAGGCCTGCAGTGAGAAAATTACTCCTTTGAAACAATTTGAACACAGAACTATTTTTGTGGTCAGCTATAGGAAGCTGCCTGGTTATAAAACCTTACACATAAATATATATATGCACAAATAATATTGCAATGTTTAGATTCTTATGAAAGAGAAACATTTTGTGTATGGTTTATGTAATATGCTCAAACACATCAAATGATGACAAATGTATTTATTTCAAGCACAATGGGAACTCTTTGTTATGAAATGTGACACACTGTACTATTCATAATAAATATTTTATACATACTGTAGCCTGTCTTTTCTCTTTGGGGAGTGCATGGCATCCATTTATCCGTCAGTCTTTGTCTTTCAGCTCCCCTGCCACTGAGAGCTGGGAAAGTGAAACTCAGCAGGTGTTTTTTTCTCCCGCTGATCTTCTCACGTCAGATTAACCTCGCAGTTTCGTGCTCATTTAAGAGGATTCGTTGCTGAACCCCGCTTACATTGATCCTACTTAGCTGCCACAGATATGATAATCCCAGGAGAACAGAAATCAACTAATGGAGACACTCGAGGCTCGCCACAAACAAGATGGTCCAGATTTAGTAAGATTTAAGTAAGTAATATTGTATTTATAGTATATAACACCAGGTAAACACATAGATAAATGAATGGAGGACACAAATACAAAAGACTAAAGTTAACTACAGCTCCACACAGGCATAAGATAATATGTACTTTATGAATCCCAATTTGGGAAATGTTTTTGTTTCAGCAGCATAAAACAAAACAAGGAATTGCACATAACAAATTAAAAGAATATAAATAGAACAATTCTAAAATAGAAACATCACAAAGTAGAACCAGCATTAGAGAATAAGACAAATATACAGATGACCGTGAAGGTACAACATCTATAAACTGTCTGACAAATAAAAACACTATTGAAGGGCCAATTTTCTGTTAACAGAATATACACAATATAAGTAGGATATTATTTACATCAAATGTGCATGGGGATCACGTACACATGGGATTTGAGAGTTGCTATATTAAAAACGATTTTTCTTGGGCCACCAAAAAGTGCCTACAGTATGTTGACGCAACTGTGTTAGATAGGGGAAGACAGAGGGGATGACAGAGGGGATGACATGTGGAAAATTGTTCCCTGTTGGATTCAAAACCTGTCCCTCCACATTGGGACCGAGCCCCAGTACATGGGCTGCCCGCTCTACCATCTGAGCTATGCAGCGGCCCTTGGGTCTTTTTTTTTTAAAGCAGACTCAGCTGATCTAACAGAAGGGAGGGAGGCAGTTCCAGTGGCATGGGGCCCTTACGGCAAATGTGCAATCACACTTGGATTTAGGGATGTCTGAAGTTTAAATTCTAGTCAGAGATCAAATCTAACTTTCTTGTGGAGGAAGAAAAAACATTAGGAGCCAGAGGGCCGATGTAGGACTTCAGTTATTATATTTTCGTACCATGTATTGAAAATGATTGTAAAGAGAACATAATGATAAATTGCTCCATAAATAATAATGTATTGAGAGCCAAAAGAGAATAGCTCAATTTTAGGCGTCAGTAATTCAGTCTGTTGAAACTTGGCTATTAAACCAAACTGTAGCAGTGCAGACTTGTAGCTGGAGTACTGCCAGTTTGCCTCCTGGGTGCTGCAGAGGGGTCCTTGTGCAGGGCACCAATTGCTCCCGTACACCGAACCATTGGCAACCTCTTCGCTCTGACACCTTTTAGGGTTAGGGTTACCGGTGCATGTGTGTATTTGGTGATGCCATGTAAAATAACATCAGATCGAAACACATCTTAATCCTGGTTATATATCAACTCTTTGTTGTGACCGGTCAGGGGGTGGCACTTGACATGATCATGTGTCAGTTATCTCATCACTGGGCATGTATCTTTAAAACTGCATACTGTTCAGAAGTCGTTGTATTTGTCAGTGGAGACATTGCTCTCTGTATGCTTTGCTTCTGCAAAAGATGAGACTCTGAAGGACAACCCTTTGACCAGTTATTGCAAGAATTTCAACCACAACGCTTTATTCCTGCTGATCGAGATTACAATTGCAGGCCTTTGCAGGAAGGACAGTTCACTGATACACACAGGAACATAGAAACCTTGGGAACAGTCAATTGTTGTTGCTGCAATAATAATAAGAGGAACACAGGCAACATGAGTTTTTTGTTAATGATGAATCAGTCAGTAATGATTTAAAAAACACTCGATCTGAAATGTATCTCCATGGATACCTTGCCCTGGAGATGTCTGCTTTCCAAACTGTGCACTGAATAGTAAGAGGATCAGATTGTTTCTGCCACATCACACTTTCTAAGCTCAAAAGACCAAAAACAACAACACAGATAAGCCTTTCAAAGCAGCTTTCTGTTACTTACCCAGACATGGAGTTTGTCTTCAAAACTGTTGACTATTTAGCCATCCCCCACTGGATTACAGACTCAATTATTTATTCTGATCTGAATTTAAATAAGATGTGTAACTTATCGTCAAAGTTATTGATTACTGTATGTTCTGTTGGGGTGAAACTAAACTGAAGCTCATTGGTCGAAATTAAGTTAAAGGATTTTGCAACCATCACATCACATCAATTCATAATCACTGGGGACAGCCTCAACCTAATGACTCTGAACAGAACTGCCAATTCATATTGTTAAATTCAATTAAACTGCAGATTCTTTTCTCGACTCATAGATCTTTTGGTGTATAAATTGTGCACACAACTTTCTCAGTGATGTACTCAGATGAGTACCTGGAGTCAGTGTTTTGGTACTCCAACTTCTGGCTCCCCTCAAAGCTTCACAAGTACGTCGGTACGCAAATGCGCTTTGTGACACAAGTGACGGTACGCATTTAAAATTGTTGCCACGCATGCGTACCTGCGTACCACTTATGTGCACCCCTGTGTATATTCATATCAATATACAGTACAAATGTCAGTGTAGTTGATCAACCTTTAGTTGACAATAATAAAGCAGAAAAAAAAGATTTCAAAAATAGTTAACGATTATTTTCCTGTAGATCGACTAATTGGTTAATTGACTCTACTCAGGCTTGCTTTACCCATTAATTGTTTAGCATCAATTTCAACCTCTCTTAAAAGGAAAGACGTGATATTCTTCTTTTTTTTTTATGTCTATGAATCCCAGCTCTAACCCTTTACTTAAGCTAGTTGTCATGCCTCAGTTTCTCAACTACAGGGCAGTAGGTTAACCCCTTTAAAATACCCCACAACATTCCTGACTTGTTTGGACATAAACACAGCTGGGACATGAACATGTGAATTAATCGTTTCATCAGGTACAGGATGGTTATCCGTAATAACATAGATGGATATATATATATATATATATATATATATAATGACTAGGCATTAAACAGTTGAAAAAAACTAGGAGCTTGTGTTTTTTTTTTCCTTTTATCTGCATTCCAGTGGATACATGTCATCTATCATTGTTACTGTGCTGAAAGAAAAGTTAGTAGTCCATCGGAAGTGTTTAAAAAATACATCTATAAATATTAGTGTCATCCTACTTTACCTAAATTGCATCTGTAAGTGGAATAATGACATTGATCAGGTTCCCTGCTGCTCCATTGAGCATTCTGTGCCTGCACCTTTGAATAAACAAACGCTTTAGTGGCGAGCTAAAGGAGGACGGTAAATTAGAAATTTGCATTTCTCCAGCTTACCGCACCACTAAGCAATACTTTATCAAAGTCATTTTACCAAACAGATTTAGGTTCCATATTTGAATTTACAGTTTCTTAGAATAACAGTGATTCAGTGTAGTTTATTGTGTAGAAAACATGCTTTGACACTGTAAGGGCTCATATTGGAAATGCCCTGAATTTGAGTCAATTACAGCTTATGTGCACTTTCATTTTCCACGAAACTCCTCAGGGAGAATCCGCAGTGATCCGTTAAGTCTTAGCTTACAGGCAGATTTAGCACGGCCTTGCAGGTTGTGAAAGTGTCTGCTCTGCTGCACTTCAGCCAGGTTTAGGACGCTCTGTGGAGGAGAGCCAGGTGTGCCACAGAGCCTCTGTCTGGTGAGGACAAGGCTCCGGACTCAGCAGGTCGCATTCGGGGGATTCTGCCTCCGATACAAAGTCAAGGTTCCTCATGGTGGGCGAGAAGTCCACTCCAGTCCAATCTGAGCAAAGCAGTAGAGGAAAGCCAGCATAGGCAGGGCAATGTTGGACCAACCTGAAATGAAAAGAAAAAAAATGTACTCATATCATTCATTTGTAAATGATTAGACTGCTATGCCCTGTTATATTCATTTTTAGACACCACAGTACTTATGTTTCAACCTAGGAAGAGTTTAGTGGAATAACCCTGATTAACAATCTTTCATTCACCTCCTTTCTGTACTTTTAATTGTTTTTGTAAGCGACTTTGGGTTATTGAAAAGCGCTATATAAATAAAAGTTATTATTATTATTATTATTATTGTTGGCCTCCTCTTCCTCTGTTTGTCACATTGCTGATGTCTGACTTTTTGCCACTCCTGGCGAAGCAAATTCAAGCAGCTCGGCTTTGTTTAATGGCGTCTTACCATCCATTGTTGTCAGGGGTTTAGAGAACACAAACATTTCCATTTTACTCAAACATATCTATCAGTAGTAAAACCAGATAAGTGATACATTTGCAGTGGTCTCTCCAGAGCTGTATTTCACAATAGCTTCACCGACAGGCAGTAGCAGAGTAGTAGTTTGCTTCGTTATCCCGTTTTACAGTTGTTCCTTTTTTCTATTTATAGCAGCGTCTTGGTTGGTCGAGCTGGCAGGTAAGCACAGCTGTCTGCGCCTCCTCCTAAACTGGCTTGCCTCCAGATTATCCCAGCAGCTTGCACCTGCACCCACAATGCTTTTTCAATGGTCTATTCTTTTCCATTCATGTCAAAATCTCATTCGAATACACACGGGCTGCTTTGTGCACAGCTGTACTGTCCGGCTCCTGTCTGCGGGAGAGAAAGGTTACACGGGCTGAGCCTAGAGAAGCCAGACTTCTTATTATGCATATTTTTACGCTGGAGGAAAGCTTTGTGCTGTGAAGTACTGCTACAACACAGACATAAGTATGCATAAAAATAGCACACATTTGTTTTGACATTTTACATGTTCATAAGGAATTTGTAATATTATGCATTTCTGATATCTAAATAAATCATACAAAGCCTTTTGGTTTGTGGCCCTTCAGGTGTTTTATATTTGCATATGTTTCATTAAAGCCCTCAGTGTATATTGTCCATCCATCTGATTTAAAACTAACAGAGAAAGCAGAACTTTAAGAAAAAGCACACACAACTAGTAAAATGTGAGAACCTTGTGGTCACAAATGAGAAATCGTAGGATCTACTTGACCTTTTGGAACAAGTTTTTGCTGCTGCTAATTACTCAACCCTGGCAAAGACAGTGACAACAATTACATCTCCTTCAGACTCATGTTACTATGACTCTAATCAACCACTGCTGTAATTAAACCAGTTTCTCTGCCACTTGATTAACAGAGTGCTTCGTGTTCATGTGAGGGGGAAAGACCACGTGCAGAGGCAACTCAAAACTAATATCAAACTGCTAAGTGATCAGAAGGACTGTTCTACTTGGTATATTTTACATTATCACTAGCCATTATAAGGACTTGCAAATAAGTAAATGTGAGGTTTCTTTTGCCATTTGAGTCTCTGTTTGTCTTTTCGTCTGTAATTTGGGATGAATCGACATTAATAATTTTTCATCTGTTCATGTTTCTGCTGTGTTTGCTTTAGTGACCCATGCTTGTTCATCCTTTGGCATCATCAGGTCAATGTTGTAATTTCACTGTTTATACATCCTGTATATGTACACAAGACAAATGACACACCCATCACACTTAGTGCTAGTGGCTAATGATAGCCTTTAAACCTGCTAGACATCATCATGCTAGCATTTTGACTAGCCATGTTTCCAAGAACACATTTTCGTGCTCATTTTTCAAGTATCGAATTAGAAAAGCTGTGATGAAACAGCAACATTTAAAAGACCTCCTTAACTGCTGTTTTTCTAGGATAATTTATAGTACTGGATAACAGGAGTTGGAAGTAAATCGATGTAAAGGGGTTAACTGATTTATGACCAAAAAGTAATAAAAGCGCTACTCAACAGTCTGCATAAAAACGTTCTAGCTTTCAAAATGTGCTGCTATGATTCACACTTTGTATTTAATACTACACACTGTATACCAGTATGATACAATTTTAACAACTCTGTGACCCAGCATTATGTCTTTAAAATAATCACACATTGGGGCTTCTGGGTGGCATGTGAAATAACAAACCCATATCCTTACAAACATATAATACTACTGTATAAAGACCATTTTTCTTAGATGGTGAAAGAAACATTTACCACCAGAGAAGTCAAAGAGTGCATTTATGCTACTGCCTGCACCAGTATAAATCGCAGACAGGCTGATTTAAAAGCATTGATCTCATGTTAATGAAGCAAACCAGCGCTAGCCCTCGGTGGGATATTATGCAGACACAAGTAATGGCTACAGGCATTTCTGGTGGATCCATTACAGTTCAATTTAAAAGTATAAAATCTGTACTGAGGGAAAAGAAACACGATTAATAAGTGGTTTGTTCAATGGTCTATTTAAATATTTTAAATAAGCATCAGGCATTGCCCTTTTTGGGTCTTTATTTTTGTATTTTAAAATGGTCCAAATTATCTCCTTAAAGGCAAACTGAGATTCACAGTTTAGTTTCTAGGTCTAACTCTGAATAATTTACAATAGAGATGGTATTTTATAACACCCAGCTCTTATTTTTAGGTTTCTCTTAACTTATTTACACCAACTCTACAGGAAGAAGCATAATGTTCCACACAATTTGCTGTGAGGCTGAAAAAAAACTAAACTGCTGACTGGAATATGATCTGCTACGGGCTGCTTAGGCATCATTTGGAGAGGCCCAAAGACTGTACGTCCGACATTAACAGAACATAAATGCTAACGCTGTTCTGGGTCTGCTGGATGTGTAAACAGACAAACACCAACTTTATAAAAGTGTTTACAGCTTGTTTCACTTCCCCTGTTGCCAAAAAAAACGTAAGTCTGCTTTAGAAATGACTAAACTAAGAATTCAGGATTAAATAAGAGTTATTGTTGATACGTTTATATCACTCTATTATACGGTGAAGTATCAGCACTGACTCCGTGCCCGACCCAGCGGCGTCTGCAGCTCAGACTGCTTATCACGAGGAGGCAGGCTTTCAGGAGGGCCTGCCATCTCGCTTTAGGTACCAAATGAGCCAAATAAAGACACAGCGGGTGAAACAGGGACTGGCACAACCACTTCGCAGATGTCTCTCCATCAGGAGAGTTCGCCCATCCAGAGGCACAATTAGTCCCAGTACAACCCGAGCCTCAACATCCACTGAAAACACTGCGTAATATCGTCACTTTATTCTAATCGGTGTATGTATAAACTACATGTATCATGCGAGTTGTCTCTTATTTTAACCATACTATTTTTAGCTGCTTTCACTACTGAAGGAGAAGTTGAAATGTACTACAATACAACTCACAGTACCTCAAAACATTTAGAAACACATTAGGGCCCCACAATATGAAGCTTTTATTTTAACATTAAACATAGAAACCTTTCAATGTTTAACCAATATTATTTTTTGAATTGGTGACTTTTGATTTTAGTTTAATTTTCATGGAAATATTTGCCTTTAATTAATTTTAATTCAGCAACATATTTGTTGTATCATAGAATCATAAAAAGATCTGTTTATTTCTAATTATAATCAAGCAATATAGTTATTGCGACACTCAACCAAGTTGTCGAATATTTTCCCCTTGACGTGCAATCTAAAGAATTTTATAAATGCCAAAATCCTGCTTACTAAAAAGCACATAGACATCGAATTGTAAAAGCTTTGTGGAAGTGGATTTACCTTGAACGAAGACACGCTTCCAGAAGATTCTGCCAACATGTATCCCCCCGAGGAACACCAGATTAGAGAGGATGAGCATGGCGGTGGAGAAGGCAGAGAGAAGGGCAATGCAACGCCTCTCTATCGCCGGAGAGACATTTCGCTTCTGGGAAATCAGTAAACAAAAAAGAGAGAAACAAAAGATTTGCAACGTAAATCTGAGAAACTGAGAGCCGTAAAGTACTAATGAACTCTGTAACCATAAACTAGAAGAATTACAATGTGCCTTCAGACTTCATTAGAGGCCAAAGAAGCCAGAATAGCCTGAACATTTAGATTGTTAATTAATTGGAAACAGACTTTAACTCACATTAATGTTGGCCGTTGGACTGTACATGCCAATTAGATATGACAGCTTCCAACCCGTTTGTCTCTCGTCTGTGCTTACTGCAGCAGCTCCAGGCATTATCTCTTATTAAATCAGTTTACATGACCCCTTTATTTCTAGCTACAGGAAATGTTCCATCATGCTCACACATCTGAACTGTCAGACTTTAATTGGAATCCAAACTCACAACAATGGATTGAATGTAAGATGAGGCAAAGACAGACTTCAGTGTGCTTTCCACCACAACTCCGACCCAATTCATCAGGGCCCAGTATCGCAAGTAGTCATGGCCGCCGTGCCACAGGCAGACGAACCCGAACGCAAGGCCAGTGGATAACATTTGGTAAAGAAGACCGTGGCGAGAACCTCCCAGCGGCACGTAGATGTATCTGGAAACACGAGTACATAACAGTAAAGAATACATCTCTAAACACAATCAGAATCAAGCAATAGCTCTTTTCAAGGTCCCCCATTATATTATTTTTCAAAAATACATTATAGGTAGGGCTGCTCGATTATGGCAAAAAAAAAAATCATAATCTTGATTATTTGGGTCAATCACAATGATTAAAAACGATTATCCATTTACTTTGAAAACAATAAAAATGTGAACAGTATGTTTTTAACAGTTGATAACCCTGAAATTTAAGTATAATTCAACTGAAAAACCAATAAAATAAAAAAATAATATTAAAAAATAAAATAAAAAAGATAATTGTTTTATTTCGATTATGTTGTTTTTAAAATCGTTGCAAGCCAAAATCATAATTGCGATTAAAATACGATTCAATTGAGCATCCCTAATTATAGGTCTCAGATAGATCTCTGAAGTTTTTGGCTCGAAATACCAAACAGATCACGTGGGCGGTGTTACCTTGGTTGGTTATTGGCTAATGGTTACACAACCCCAAAAAACCTTGTGACATCACGAAGTGGCCAAAAACTGATCAGCTACTTTTCAGACAGGTTTTTATATTGATAGATCAGGACCAAAAGAGAGAGGATCTTTTTCCTGAAACTTTCTGAGTCTCTCAACACAGAGGGGACACATATTTATGTATAAAAGACATGAAAAAGTGCATAATAGGTGACCTTTAAAGTAATGACCTGGCCAACACAAGGCAAGGCAATTTCTTGTATATAGCAAACTTCAAGGTGCTTCACAAAAATGAAAAACATTTACATAAGAAAAACATAATGCAATAGTAACTCTTTATAAAATGACAGCCATTAAAAACCAATATAATAAAATAAAACAAGCTAGAATAAGATGGGTATACAATACAAGAATAAGAGTTAAAGTGCAGTGTAAGATATAAAAAGTCTTGGGTTTAATCAAAAGCAGCGGCAAAAGAGAAGTCTTCAGCCTGGATTTCAAAGAAGCGAGAGTTGCAGCGGACCTGCACTTTAATGATAGTTTGTTCCAGATTGATAGAGTATAATCACTGAACGCTGCTTCTCCATGTTTGGTTTTTACTCTGGGGACAAAAAGCCGACCAGTGCCAGAAGACCTGAGAGGTGTGGATGCTTAATAATGTAGCAGAAGATCATAAATGAAAAAAAATAACAGGGATGGTAACAGACAGATCTTTTGTGAGGGCAGGACACACATACTGGAGAAGTTAAAGTGGACCTATCATGCTATATTTGAATAATATAGTGTAGGACCATACCTATAAGGCATATTTATACTTTTTATTTTTCAAAATACCAAACAGATCATGCATTTTAGCGATTCCTCATTTCGCTCAATTTAACACTGTCTTTGCATGGGCTGATTCTGTGAGAACAGCACCATCTACAGGCCTGGCATATGTACTACAGCGTCTCCAGCACTTTCCAACGGCAATGTCCGTGGCTGTCTCCTCCTGATTGGTGGAGTTGGCCCAATAGCCTTAGCGCCACTTCTGTGATAGAAGTGTTCAAATCTGGATCAGTCTCTATCAGATCCATTGCAGCCCCTTTTTAAGAGATTTGGGTATGGAGGAAAATAGAGAGGGTTGTGTTTTCTGACACTTGGTGAGTTCCCTGGAACACCGGGGACACATATTCATGTAGAAAAGACGTACAAAAGTACATTTTGCATGATAGGTCACCTTTAAATTGTAAAGGGCCCCACATTGCATCAAAGAATTGCAAAGAATACTCATGTTCATTGGTTTTTGATCATCATTGCTTTGACGTGTAGTGCAAAAATAGAGGCACTTTCGGGAATATCAATCATATCAAGTTGTTAATAACGTTGCAACTGGGTTAATGATTCCAGAGTGGTTGTTATGATTTGCACCAAAACCATGACACATAGTTAACCCATTTTCTTTGTCAAATTGATTTTTGTCTTCCATAACTCTAGTGAGGTCTTGTTTTGGTTGGGTAATGTCTGATTTCAACATATTGGTTAAAAAAAACAAGCAAATATATATCTCATAACCCACTACTGTGGTTTAAATGAGATTACACTTCATGCAGTGATAAAAATAGCCCACATGATGCGTATAATATCCCATCAATCAGTAAAGATTGTGGTGTATGCTGTGAAGAGAAATGGCCTCAGATATTGAGAGAAGCTGCTCTGTTTCATGCTGAATCACTCCAGCACACTTAGAAACAAACATCACGTTACAGTATGTCTTGTTGCTGAGCTGGGAACTAATTATCTCAGCCACCCTGTGGATAATCAATGTTCCTGACTGAAAGATGAGCCAGCATTTTCTGAGCCTTAAATAGAGTGGCTAGCTTGCATGCAGGATGAAAGTAGAAACAGATGGAGAGGAACCAGAGTGGTAGGGCAAGAGTAAACTGAATGCCTAAACACACTGAGAACCCATCCGTCTATTTAAATTAGTGAGATGTAGATGGATCCTAAACAGATGGTAATCAAACTTTGAGCATTTGGACATGTACATGAATGTGTGAGTGAGTAATCAATTTGTTATGTAACACTTTACTATTTCAAGCAGATGGTGCAGACAACATGCAGACAAGGTTCAGAGACTGGCAGGAGGAATTAGTCTTGCAACTGTTATTGTCAGTTTCTGTGCTTTAATAGAGAAACACAGTGTACTTTGTTCCTTGCTTTAAAAAGGGTCATAATTATGCTAATATTTCTAGTTCATGTGTGTATTCTGGGATTGTACTAGAACATCTTTATAAGCTTTTATATGTTGACGAAACACATTATTTTTCTCTTTCTGTCTGAATGTACCTGTGTTCACCCCTGTCTGAACACTCTGTCTAATGGCTGCCTCTTAAAGCCCCCCTCCTGGAAAAGCCCAGTCTGTGGTCCGTGATTGGCTCTATGAAAAAATATATAGTGCGTCTTTGGAAAAGGTAGTTGCTAAGTCGTGGGTGGAAATACTTACATGTGAGGCGGTATATTCTAATGAGCGTGTATGTGACATATGAGGGGGAAAATCTAAATCTGTATAGCGTGTTAAAGGGGCCATTATTATACTAATTTTCAGGTTCATATTGTTTTTTTTGCCTCTTCTGTGACATGTTTACATGCTTTAATGAAAATTAGTATAATAATGGCCCCTTTAACACGCTATACAGATTTAGATNTTAAGACTAAATAGGCGTCATTGAATTAAAATCTAAGTATTTCTTAAAGCAGTGGTGGAAAAAGTATTCAGATTCCTTACTTGAGTAAAAGTACTTTACAAATACTCAAATTCAAGTAAAAGTACTTCATCGAGAATGGTACTTAAGTACAATTATTTAAGTATGATTAGGAAAATGTAATTGAAGTATTAGAAGTAAAAGTACTCATTGCAGAGAAAACAAAACACATATTTTAAAATAAATCTTCACATTCAAGAAGCTAGAACTGTATAAATAATGTTAGCAGAATTTCTGCCAATACATTTTCTGTTAACCCACTCATGGTTTTAGTTATTTAAATATCACTTTTGATGGTTTGTATTAATAATAATGATATTTTACTTTGTAAAATTGTTTACTATTGTGTGTCAAAATCTGAATTTATAAAGAAACTAGTAAGCAAATATGAACAATACATCTAATTGCTTCCCAAATGTGGTAGAGTGGAAGTATGAAGCAGTAACAACTGAAAATAGTCGAGTACAGTACAAGTACCTCAAATGTGTGCCTAAGTCCAGTACTTGAGTAAATGTACTTAGTTACTTTCCACCACTGAGTAAAGGAGTTTTTTTTAACCACTGACTACATCATATTTTTCCTGGCATAATGAAGCCACTCCTGCACAGATGGGGGCGGTCATGCTCTAAAAAGTTGTTGCATGGAATAAATCAAGGAAAAAGAAGAAGAAATCTCTACCTCTGAATGTTGGATGCCGGATTGTTCTAACGTTATGTTCCTCTGGTCCAAGCGCTTTCAGACAGTGCTGTTTACACGTTACAGCACTGCAATGGACAGCGGTGCAGTAGTATCAGGTAACACTGCAACTTGTTAACGTGATTAGCTAGCTTAGCTAACGTGAGCTAACTGCCATTCCAACTGGAGAGTTTACGGAAGTTTTCAGCTCACCTAAACAAATTGGGAATACAAATAATGGTCAAATTAGCACAACAACATGAGCACACACGCCGACTTGGTTTAAGTGGTGTCGTAATTCTCTCAAACGCCAATAAAATGCCCAGAAACGATAACAGTGGAAACGGTAGCTAACAGTTAACTCTACTTTATTTTACCCGTGTGAACTAGTACGTCGTAGTCAGCAGCAACCGCTGGGTGCAGTGTTACCTAGCAACGGCATGTGATTGCCATGCCAACCGGTTGGCATATTCCTGACGATGCTACAGGTACTTAACGATGAAAATTATACATATCAGTGGTGGAATAAGTAAAGTAATGCAACAATACAGTGTACAAGTACTGTAGTAATAATGTTATTATAAAGAACCAGTGTTAGCGCCAAAATGTACTTAAAATGCCAAAAGTAGTAGGCTACAGATGAGATGCAGCAGCTGAAAATGGTGGATTGTTTTAAACTAACGTTTCTGTAATCTATAACAATAATACTACATAATATTCATATTAGTTAGTTCATATACATGATAACAATCTGCACAGAACCTAAGTTACTAAATAAATGTTATGGACTGAAAAGTGCTTTATTTCCTCTAAATATGTATCCGCCTAATGCCTAATGTGCATTCCACCACTGTACACACAACACATTCATCTTATACAGGTTTACGTAGCCATTGGCTACTTGTGTCAACAGCAGAAACCATTTAACATTGTATAACTTGTATTAAAAGTGTAACATAATCTACCATTACATCTAATTACCTACCTAATCTGGCTATAATGCAATTTTACCTCAGTTTGTTTTTGATGTTCAGAAATGTTCCCAGAGTTTCCGGTTGATGCTGCTTATGTTAAAAAAGGGAAATATAATCGTGAATTGTTTAATGTATTAAAGAATACCAGTCTCAGTTTGATCGAGCTTTCAACTTTTTTTTTTATAGAAAGAAAAAACAGATTTCAATACCACATTTATGTGATATATTGTATGTTTCTTTTTGTTAGTGCTAATTAATGTTTGTACGGGATATAAATTGACTCACTTCATTATAGGTGCACTATAGCAGTGATTTCCCCTGATGACATCTAAATCAAAGGCTCAACTGGCCCCTCTGCCAAGGACAGAGATCCTTGCATATTGGGTGCTGTCCTTAGGCTCACATCTCTACTCTTTCTACCAACTGCACAGGTTCTCCAAAGGTAAGGTAGATGGACAGACATCTGTATGATGGTTCAATGAACTTTAAAAGTTTAAGAAAATATAAACTGTTATTTCCTGGTTTGTACCTCAGAGCATGAAGCAGGATTAGAGAGAGGATTCCAGTTGGAAAAAGGCCTTGTCAAGGGTTTTAAAAGGGTAAGTTCAATGTTGAAATTACTGATCTAAAGCCCGATCTTTACCCACATTATTGTGCATCTCACTGAAAAAATTATTTGTTTTGAGTTCAGAGTGAACTATTATGTATTATATACTATTATTAGTTCATTCACTATTATGTGTCACGGAAAGCCTTTTAAAGTGTGTTTCAGTTTAGTTTTTCAAGTTTTTGAAAGGCATTCATTTGTTTAATAAATGTAATTAAGGTGTGAGTTAGAGTGCCATAATTAAGTTTTTTTTTGTCAGGACCTTTCTGACTTTGAGTGGAGTTTCTGGACTGAATGGGCTAAGAAGTCTTTGCTGTGGACTCTAATTGGTCATGGTGTGATATCAAGATTGACCAGAATCTTTAATCCCAAGGTAGGAAACTGCTACCGATCTGTGAAGTGGAATATTGCTATCAGGGAAGAGATGACTCAATGCAACATCCTTTTTTTATGTTTTCCTCTTACAGTTTAGGGTGCCAGCACTCACCATATATGGCCTCTTAGCAGCCAGCAGTGTGTTGGGGATTAAAGGTGTGAGCGTGCTGCTGGTACATGTGGGCCTGTCGTTTTCAGTGGCCCAATTACAAAAACCTGCTCTGTCATGGTGCTGCAACCTTCTGCTGCTCTCCACACTTCACATCCATCCACTACAAGAGATCCAGGTAGGCTGTACGTCAAATGGATATTATTTGTTCCTGATTTTGGACGGATGACATCTAAAAAACATCTTTACATAGCAGAAACATTTAAATGTGTCTTTACTATTTTACTTGTAATGAAAGAAAAATACAGTCGGTCCTTAAAAGGATAAAACTTATACAATATGTTGTGAATCTGCTACAAAAAATAAGCTATAAAGATAGGGTGGACAAAGTCTGTCATCTGTGTTGACCATCAAATTCACTTGAACTTATCATTTCTTTGTTGCAATGATACTGTCCATTTTTTATTTCGATTTGATCATGCATACTAACTGTTTCATCTACCTTTAATCTTCACTGCATGTCATATTTTCAAAGAACACAAGAGGGCACACAATAACAAGAATACGGTTATAAGATAAAAGTTGAGTGAATTTTATTGAAAGGATACTACACTTGGTATTTCCAGTAATACCTGAGGATTAACGCATGTAAACACACAACGATGATAATTGACTGACAAAACAATATTTGAATTCAGTTTAAATGTGACTATAGGACTCAATGTATGTCTTCATTTATCTTTTATTATGAACACTGGTTCTTTTTTATTTTAGTACATTTAGGGTTGTTTTATCTTCCTCCGGTTTTGATATGCATGATAGCCTATACATTTTATTTAAGGATCTATGAGCTGATTGACTGCCCAAATACTGTATTTACAGCTGGAAGGTAAAAACTGTTTGAATTGAATTGGGAAGATGTGGAACAATTCTATAAATACCCTTTAATTGCACATTAGCTGACACATCAACATGGTTATAGCCAGGCAACTATGCTACAATGGTTGGAAATGTGAAATAGACCTGACAGACCTGTAAATGCTTCAAAAGACCTGCCTCCTTTGCTCAAACACGATTGCACACAGTTGCACACAGACTGAGTCCTGTGTTTAACCACAATTCCCAATGCTGTTAAGCAGACCTAATTAAAAGTTGTCTCAAACATATGCTTATTAGTAGGTCTTGACAGATCTTCATTACCAGTTTTATGCTGTAATCTGCTAATGTTCCCCTTTTTAATGTGTCATATCTATAAGCATATAAGAACTATTTTTAAAAGCATATCTACATATAGTGTCAGACTCTCACTATTATATAAGGATTCCCTAGGAATGTGATACCAAATAATTGGCCTTCCTCTTTGTTACACAGAGAGGCTGGTATAAGACCGAGGAGGAGTACTATCTGCTCGTCTTCAGTGTCGCTGTCTGTGGACTTCGCCTCATCAGCTTCAGCCTGGAGCATTGCTGGAGCCCTGCAGACAGTGGTGGAGCTGTGCAGCTCGGCTGGTTGTTTTCATACACCTTCTATCATCCCTTTTTCTACAATGGACCCATTATCTCGTACAGAGACTACACTGAGCAGGTAAGAGTGCAAACAAAAGCAAATTAAACTGTTGAAATTGCCTCTTGTTACTGTCTGGAGGCGGCTGATTGCTGCTCCTAAGTGCAGGTGATCTCAGGTCACCTTTTTAAAAACATAGTAGACAATCAGTGGTGGGCCATTTATGAGAATTATAACTTACATTTTTACCAGATTTGAAGAGGAGTAGCTAACCCTTCATTTGATCCACTGTTATAATACTAACTTGTTATGCCTGCTTGTTTTTATACCCAACTTTGGAGTAGATTTATACGTGTTCATACTACATGGTTGCTCTGTTTAAAAACCTGGTGTTGTTCTTTTTGTAGTGAAGATGCAACCAGCAACCTTTAACAACAACTCACTTTCTGCATTTGCAGATGCAAAGGCCTGCTGAGGAGTGTGACGGGGACAAATCTGGTGCCATTTACTTGGTGCTCAGATCAGGACGAATCATACTGTGGTGGTGCCTCGCGGAATACATGATCCATGTTATGTATATGCACTCCATCCAATCTAATGAGACATACTTAGAGATCCTCCCTCCCTGGGCCTTGGGTAAGTGTTTATGCTGTGTGTATTTTTGGCTGCTATGTGCATTACTTTTAGCTTTAATGTTTGCCAGCCACTTGAGACAGATGTTTTGAAGGTGCAGAATTTAAAACATGTTACTCCCCCTTACCCCAAAGTGTTTAGTTGGCTTTAAAAGTCAGATATGCTGATAAGAGTTTTACTTAATGGTCTTGATTCGAGTTGTCATACTCTGTGGTGTGATTGTGTTTATATTTAAATAAAGTTACAGAATAGGTGTTTGTTGATAATGTATTTTTTTGCTTTTGCATTGTTGATTCCAAAATGTAAGAAATAATTGCCAAAGTTATAGTTTAAATCCTCTGTAAGGGCCCTGTGAGTCTTTGCAGGAAACATGGCGTCTTTATTTTTGGGAGGTTTTAAGGTCCCATGACATGCTTTTCTGGTTATTACCCGTCCCCTTGTGTGTTATTTAGCTTTGTATGCATGTAAACCGTCTGCAAAGTCACAAACCCTCAAAGTACACCCTGTAACGAGTAAAACTCTAACACAGAAAAGACCTGTCTATGCTGCTCCAGAACGCCTCGTTGGAGATTTCTCTTTTTCTTCCTGGGTACAGTGACGAGACCATATCCAAATGGACCCATTGGTCCAAATGGACCAATCCGTGGAGCGCTGGGAGGGGTGCTAGTGGAGCCTCGCAGATGGGGGTGCTGCAGCCCCCTTGCACACCAGTAACCCAGCTCACGCTGTCTGAGCCGTGCAACGTCCCGCCAACACGGCACCCAGACTCCACGCAGCATTCTCATCTGTTTGTCATTACTGGTGTCATTTTCTGGTTGCTAACGCCATTGAAACACATAATCACTGATGTTCTGCTGTAACGGTGGTGGACTCATCAGAACAGAGTGGGCGAGCTGTCCAATCAGAGCACAGTGGGCTCATAGGGAGACGGGGGGGGGCAGGAGCTCCAACAAGCCGTTTAGGACAGAGAGTGAACACACATACTATACAGAGATGCTGTATGAGAAACCAATGTGATATTGGAAAATTGAACAATGTAAATCTATTCTAGTAGACCTCAACAATGGAATTATGATCAGTAGAAATGGCCATGACATGGGACCTTTAAGTGATTTACTCAGGAGGACACTGGTCGTAAGTACTCTGCATGCACAGTCTTGTGTTGATCCTATTTTAGATGTGAAGCTCTTCTGGAATTTTCAAGTTTTATTACTTATCCATTAATTAATACAGTGATTTACTCACTCGTCGTTGTACTGTCTGCCCCCGTCGTCGCCATAAACAGGTATAGAATCGGAATCTTTATAATTTACTGGCCTCCTTTTTGCAATTCAGCCTAACTGTTCTCAGCAGCTATTAAATGTCAGCACAATCTTTGTTTGCCAAGTTCTACCTATTGATCCCTCCTTTTTTGCTCTTCCTGAGATTTCCTCCCTTTTTTCCTTATTAAAGTGTTTCCCTTTCTTATAATAGAGGGTGTTTTATATATATATATATATAGTGAATTTGGGGTATACAAAACACCTGTTTTAAAACTTAAAAACAATAACTAACCAGTTTATTCTAAAATAAAGTCCACAGTAGTGGTTTGCAGTCTGAAAAGCATCTGAGGAACTCTCATAAAATTATAATTTATTTATGGATAAGTATTCATTAGGGTTTAAAATGTAGCACATAGTACATCAGCTGCTGTTCCCAATGCCAACCAATACAATAGACTTCAATAATTAATAAAGTGAGCTGAGCAGTTTGACAGTCATTGTTTATTTTTCTTAGTATACAACTATCCCTATCCTTAAAGAGCACTGTTCTTGATCATTTACATAATAAACATTACTTTTCCCCCTCTCACAGGTGGTCTGGCGCTGGCCCTTGTCCAGTTTTTCTTTGTGAAGTATCTGGTTCTGTTCGGCTTTCCATCCATGCTGGCTTCTATGGATCAACTAGTTCCCCCAAAGCTCCCTCGCTGTGTCAGCATCATGTACAGTTTCACAGGGATGTGGAGGTAAGATCAAGCTGCAGAAACAATTCTAGTTACCCCTGACATAAATGTGCTATTATATTGGTCCCGCAGCATTCCCTCAGCGACAGGAGAGCTAGCATCCTTGGTATTCTTGAGGTAAAGGAAATGTCAAGAGCCTCAAGTGCTCACTGTGCTTTTGCAATAAGATTCAGACAGGGCCCCGATAATTGTGTCATTTTGTCATTACTGGCAATCAGAACAATACTGTAGGTCACCTCTGCACCAGGAACATTATATCATTCTTTCAGACTCAAGCTAAAATGGTTTGTTTTTTGCTGGAGTTGGTCCTACATTTGAAGGCTACATGATGTTGTTTTTTGTTAAGTAAAAACAGCTAAGTAGTCTACAAAGTAAATCATGAAAAGAAAAACATCTGTGTGTTTAAAAAAAACGAATAATCGCCAAATAGGTTGCCACTTAAAATGTGTGTCAGAAGGGAACATATTCCGTGAAAAAAGGTCATCTTCTCAGTCAAAAACTAAGGTCAAGCTAATTATATTGTTGTCTTGGTTTTTCTTGAATATTCAAGTAAGTAAGAATTGGGCTCCAGACATCAGAATAGTCCTAGTCCATTCAAAACTATTGATTGAAATCGTTTGGAGAGATAACCTTGGTAGCCTTTTACAGAAGTAGACAAGATAAAAAGGAAACCGACATCTTTAACTTAATATTTCTCCATTAAACCACATAATAATCGAAATAAATGAAATGTCAAACAGTTGTGAGCCTCTTACTCAGAAAATGTCCATTAAATCAACGAAAAACCAACTTCAAATGAGGCGGAAGTCAATTGTCCCTTAATTAAATAAACTGTCCATGGAGCAATGAGCAGGGGAAAAGGGCAAAAATAGATGCAATTAGGCTGAGGGCACATTAACATGAAGCAGGAGAATATGAGAAGCCTGGAGACAGGAAGGAGACCTTACTTTAGGTCCAACAGCAGGTCAAAGAGGGAGTTAGAGTATCCAAACCTGCTCCAGGATAAATACATTATAATCCCAGGAAATCCAGCTGCTACATAGAATAACTGCTACTCTACTTTTATATACAGTATGTCACTGTTAGTCATTTGGATAAGTGGAGATCTCCAGAAACTAAAACTTAGTTATCTCCTTACTCTCCTTACTTTCTGATCCCCTCGATGCTTTTGCTAGATGTTTCCGTTCCCTCTGCTCACAGGTGTTTCTGATTTATCTCCTCCCCTTCCTGTGCAGGTTGAAAAGGGCTATTTTCCACGTTTTCTGTCCCTCCTTTATGCTACACCCATTAAGCATGAGATTGTCGAAACACACACATCATACACAGTTATTTCTGTCCCACCTACCTCTTTAAAAGTACATTTCATGGTAATTGTAAAATGTGATGAAGTTCATTTAACACTTTCACTTCCAAGCGAAGGACTATGCCTGGTTCATGCTGAAGGGGTCACACTTGCTCAAGTTAAAGGAACACACACATTGCAGTACTGCTTGTTATATTGGGATAAAGTACCTTAATCAGCAAGAATTCAAGTATAGAAAGACAGCGAAGACACTGCTTTAAATTTAGTATTCAGGTCAGTCAGGTAAAACAAATGGGGAACATTTTGTGTCATTTGTGTTTAAATATTCAGCACACAGAAAAGGTACTGCTGACACACTGTGAACTATGCTGTAATATACACAATTACCAGCTCATTAAATACAATAAAACCAGTCGACTGTAATACAACGTCCTACAATACATCCTACCTTGAATATAACTTTATTAAAATGCATTATTATTTATGCTTCAGTTTGTGGAGCTGTTGAACTGTATTTTATTAAACTGACAGCTGTTTCTATTACATTGTCCACCCTAATTACATTTATTAGAGGATGCTAAATAACTAAAATGTCTCTTAGTATAATACATTACAGCTTAACTGCATCACAAACTACATCCTCCAAAATATAATAGTGAAGCTATGTGGATGATACATTTGTATTAAAGTTAAATAAACATCCTTTTAAAATGATAAACTTCATGAAGGCAGGATTTGTTGCATTAGTTTTAGTTGGATATACCTAATAAACTGGCAACTGACCGAGTGTATGAACAAGGCTTACAACATGGAAGTAAATGCAGACCTCCTTTGATTCCATAACATTATAACATTATGCACCATGACATCAAGTCAAATTCCTCCTACGTGTCAACCCCTGGTAATAAAGCTGTTTCTGATTCTGATAAAGAAAAACACATCAGTGCTACTGTAATAATAATAATAATAATAATAATAATACATTACATTTATAAAGTGCTTTTCCTGGTGCTCAAAGCGCTTACAAGCAAGTGAGAAACTGTGAGAAAAACCATATGTTATACTTTGCAATTACCATGCAGGAAAGACTTTCTTACAGCAAACATCCTCTGTTCCTTTAGTTCATTAACATTGAGAAACTGCTCTCTAAACTCAGAGCACATACAATTGAGATGGAAGGCAGTGTATTCGGCTTTGCAGTAAGAATGCGGATCGACCAATGTGCTGACACCGATGCACTCCAATCCGGCCCGTGTGCTGAGCTGGTCAATGTTGACAACATTGATGGAATGCATAAAGCTGTCCACTGATTCGCAAACAGCCTCAGTTTACTTGCAGCAAAACACAAAAAACACTTGTTCTAATCATCTTAATGACAAAGAGCGTGCACACATACTGAGTGTATTTATATAAGGCCCAGTTCTCAGGTGTTTCTCACTCAGTGCTTTATTATTATGTAAATGTTAGACTCAATATTCATTTCTCTTTTATTTATTTTTTTCCACTCTCAGGCACTTTGACGCCGGTCTGTATCGATGGCTCATCAGGTAAGAGGCACTTCATGAGTGGTGGACGGACTAATTCAGATGTTAATGACTACTTAAAATGTAAAAATGCTATCTAAATCAAATAACAACTCTTGAATAACCTATCTATCCCTCCATCTGTCTATCTGTCCGTTTTCCTGTCTTCTATATATTTACCTTTCTATCAATCTTTTCTTATATCTATATATATATATCAATATATCTGTCTATCTGTATCTAGTTTCTAAATATCTATCCATCTATATATATATATATACACCTATCCTTCTATCTAGCTGTATGTCGGTCTGTCTCTGTCTATCTATATCTAGCTTCTATACATATATCTTTCTATCCATCTATCTGTCTGTCTGTCTATCCGTCTATCTATCTGTCTGTCTGTCCGTCAATCTATCTATCTATCTATCCGTCTATCTATCTGTCTATCTATCTATCCGTCTATCTACATATCTAGCTTGTGTTTACTCATACTGTATGTGTTATTAATCACACACTTACTATTAAGAGCTTGTTTCCTGCGGGGCATTGAACTTGTCAGTTGAATAACCTTTAAAAAGGTGCCACTCTCCAGCTGCCTGCCTGCGTGTTTTATCATAATGGACGAGGACGCCTCATTTGCATGAAGGCTTTCTCATGATTATGAGGTTGGCTGTTGTTGGTGAATAGTTCTTCTGTTACCGTTTCCGCACCCTGGAGAAATGCCTCCTTTTTTAATATGTGCATACGTAATGGGAGCATTGTGTGTTTGCTCACTTGTAATTTGGACAACGCTGTTATTAGTTTGTCTGCTTTTTAATGATGCACACTTGGATAAACGCAGCCTATTGGGAGGTTATGGTCCGCTTGCTAGAGGCAGGTTGCTACATCAAGGCGATGCCACAGTTGCACGCTTGTCAGAAAACACAGTGCTATCCGGTGTAAAATGTTCCCTTGTCTCAGTTTTTGTTTGCTAATTAGTTTTTGTGTTGACACTTATGACGTACATGTACACCTGCTCTTCAGAAGGTAAAGATGAGTTCAGAATTAAATTCAGCATATCAGATGGCTAAAAGGGCTCCAATTAATCGTAAAAACCTCTAATTTAAATTGCAAATGCTAGTTTCCATTTTAATCCATTGGAAATTGTTTTCTCCCGCCTAATGGGATCACTTGCAATTATGCAACTGCTGATGCAAAATTATACACATGACACAATGCCCCGACGTTCCTTCGAGTGAAAGCGCTTTTAAAGAGGTTTTAATGGAGTTCTGAAATTCTGTTGAAATTGTCTGAAGAGCGCTAGATGAGAGCGTAGGTGTTAAATGATGTGCTTTACATGACTCACTGACACCCCGTCTCCCTGGGCAGCTAAGTGGCTCATTCTTCACCATTCCTGAAGGCTTTCTGCATTTATTCTGCTCAGGTTCTCTGTTTCATACACTTATCAGACAACTAAAGAGCTCTTAATGCTGGAGTTATTGCTGCTATAAATTAGGAGATCTGGGAGAAAATATGTGAAAATTAATAAATGGAGGCTTGGATTGAGCCAGGAAGGGGTATGATTGCACTTAAAGATGACAAAACATTGCTAAAAGTCACTTTTTCACTACATGGGAAATGTTATGACAAAATGACCAAACTCAGTTTAGGAAGTGGGCTACATTTGACCTGTAGCACAAATATTGAGGACCACCAAAAATGATGTGATATAGAGTTTTCGTCACAAATTATTACCTGGTTCTTACTAATGTTTTGATTACAGCTAAAAATTCTGTTAATTCTCACTGTAACAACTTTATATCATAAAAACCTCACCTTTTCAGTGCTTATGCATCTCATTGTGTAACATTGGAGTCCGAAAAAAAGGGATTTTAAATGGGATATTGTGTTTCCCTTACCTGTAGTGGGTTTTTGTGCATGGTGATGGTCTGTAACGGCTACATTTCTCTCCCACACACATGCCTCCATTGGAATCTTTTGTTTATGTAACATAGTGACATCACTACATACAGTAACACCCACGTTCCTGGCTAGCACTTCAACACATTGTACGTGATAGGCTAATGGGCGGGACATCTCTGAGCGGTTGACCAATCACCAAAGAGACAGTTCACTCAGGAGAGACGTGATGTATGGAATACATGTTTATTATCGGGTCACATTATATAAATGAACATAATGATGACAGTTTGTAGCAAGTGAATGAAATGGTGTTTTGGCGATTAGGCCCAGGTTTGGTAGGATG